CGGCTCCCACAGTACCACCAACTGCTGACGCGCCTTTCATGCAAAAGTCGTCTCTCCCGGATGGAACCGTATTCATATGCGTCGGTGCTGCTCTCGGCTTCATTGGCGTACTTGTCCTTGCTTGGCGTGGCCTTGTTGCCTGGTCATTACACCGATCCGTTCAAAGGGCTGCGATCGCACAATCGTCCAAATACTCGCGTGTGGGAGATCCAAGAGCAAACAATGGCAAGTCAACTGGCCCGTACTTTAGTCCAGGACCTGGGTCTACGTTGAGTCTCGACCATCTAGCGGCAAGCGGGAAAGGAGGGGGAAAGACACCTTCTTCAGCTCACGGAAGCCTTTTCTTCTCGCCTACGGCAGGTACTGGCATGCAGACCCCAGGTAACCGAGGGTCTAGTTATCTTCCTGCTGGGTATTATGCTGCTGCCAATTCTGCGCCTGGTGGTGGATCTGGAATGACGCAGGTTGGGGGTGGAGGAATCGGGCTTTCAAATCTTGCACCTCAGAATCATCGATACTCAAGAGCAAGGTCGACTGGGCCAAGTCCACCCGGGTCCCCCAGTTCGCCACCAAGCAGAGGCGCAGACTCGACGCTTGCAAGACTCAGTAGTGCAGGGTTGACGATACATGCCAGCAACAGCAGCCTCAATTTATCCGCAGCACCCCAGGGCCGTGCACCAAGCGCATACCTGGAAGACCTTTTCGAGAATCATCCTCCGGGAACCCCGCCGCCAGAAGAGCACGGTAGAGGAAGAAGGTTCTAATGGCTGTTCGATCGGGGTTTGGGGGTTTTTGAGCATATGTGTTACGAGGACGTCACATGGGAGGTGTTGGGTGGTCTCTTTACAGGGGATTTTTGCATTGTGGCATGGGCCTGGCGTTCTGGGCATCGTGAATTGAGGAGAGCTGCCTTAACGTTACTATAATTACCTACTCGTATAAAGCTAAGACGTCTCAGCAGCAGACTTTCGCGTGCTTATGAAAGTTGAGCAGCTATGCTTGCTGATATTTCAATTGATGTACATATCCAAGTCGTTCTACTTCCTGTCATTCGTATAAATGTTTGCAAACAAAGCAAGATTTTGAATCGCTCTTTCTCCATGAGGTTCTTGAGTACCCACGTACCTTAGTTCCCTCGCTCCGCAGTTTCCCGCTACTCATTGTCCTTCGTAGAACTTCAGACTCTTTCCGCGGCCACACAAAAACACCTCAAAAGTCCTTCATCTGATACATTCCAATGTTCTTAGAACTCAGAGATCATGTCCGCCTTCAAGAGGGTCAACGTGAAGGGTGGCATCTCAAGGCAGTCAATATTGGCTCCTTTGCGGGAGGCTCAGATTGTCAGCTCAAAGCCAGTATTTCCAGCAGGTATTGTAGCTAATCGTTATGCTTGAAATTGTTTTTTGACTGTTGCTAGAGATCCTGTCCACCATTCTCGATTACCTACCAGTCCCAGGCCAACTGCGATTTGCTCGCGTGTCGAAACGGATGCGGGAGATGGTCTACGATGACACGAGATGGGTGCAAAGACTACAGCTAATGGGATGCTGGGACGAGAATGAAGCCAGAAAGAGCGCAGAGGCCGCAAGACGTAAGAGATCTGAGACGCTGCAGAGCATACACGAAGAGGAAGCCAAACGTGCTGGAATTGGGGTCAATGGTACAGCAAATGGAACGAACGGATCCGATAACCCAGAGCGACCCAGTGTTACCCTTTTCGACGCTGCGATAGAAGCTGCAGAACACGAAGGGAAGACGAATGGTGGCCCATTGAAAGTAGCGCCACCCATTGAAGACGGATTCGATGCGATTGAAACCTCTCCTCGAGGAAGGCCCGCAGCCTACAAATCGCAAGATACTGCGTCACGGATAGATATCTTTGCTCATGTCTATTCGCTCCGGGGTTTTGCACGGCAAGAATACGGCAAGGTCTATGGAGCTCTGGCCCCTTTCTATCTAGACGCCATACGCTGCGAGAATCACACGCATGCTACAGTCTTCCGCACCTACCGAGACCCAACTCAGCAAGCCCGGATGCTCTTCAACATCAGCAAATTCTCTAACAGTGACATGTCTGAAGGATGGCAGAAAAGGAAGGAGAAATTCGATGCTTTGGTCGGAGCCTTCGAGATGGCAGTCTCCAAGGAGTTTGAGCAAGCTTTGGACGCTGGAGATGTCGCTGGGAAGATGAGAAAGTATGCACATGTGCTGGCCTATCTTAATGGTGGCCATTCGGGGGTAGAGCTCTTTATCTCAAAAAGCTCAATCATTGGCTCAAGGTACAGGTTAGGGAATGCCCTGGATTGCCTGAACCGAAAAGGCCCTGGCAGCTTCTCGACGGAGGAGTCGTACAATTTCTTCAGTAACGTATCAACGGCTTTCAATGAGCAGGTCGGCATCATCGACCAGATCTTTCCCACTTCTGTCAATGCCATTGTACCCTTTGTGCAACGAGTTGGTAAAGCGGTTATCTCCGATTATCTGACCACCCTGTATGACGAAGCACACCGCACGAATATTGAGTCTTATTTGAGAGCCGTATCCGCTACTTGCGACCAGTTTCTGGAGATGACCAGGTCTTTGCGGCCAACATCTGCCTCTGGAGACGATTTCTACGAGACCCTGGACGAGGTCATTGCTACTATCTTCGAACCTCACATCGATCTCTACCTGAAAGAAGAATTGGAATTTTTCAAGAAGAAGTCCTCTGCGGAAGTCAACAACTGGGAAAAACAGCTTTCTGAACAAGATGCATCTATGCAATCAATGTTTATGTCCAATGTCAATCGCCAAGCTGACAAAAGGGATTTTTTGACCTCTTTCAAGAAGGTCGTCATGATGCCTGTTAATGTGCTGCCCACCTTCCCCATGTCATCACCATTCGGTGGCAAGCCGGCCACTGCGAAAGCCCTGGTGAATGGAGAAGCCCTGGCAACCACAGAAATCTCCGGATCTCAGACTTCTACAAGACCGTCAAGTCCAGGCGTCATCAATGGCACTACTTTGAGCGTCAACAGACCTACAACGGAATTGCCAGAGCCACCTACAACGGAATTGGCTGCCAAAGCCGCAATCATGAACTCCAGGCTGGAAGGGATTCGCTCTCTTTTCAGTATTGAAGTAGCTTTGAACCTTGTTCATACTGCGAAGTCAAGCATCGAACGAGCCGCTGTCTTTGTCAAAGTTGGTGGGCATATCGCTAGCGATGCCCGTCTACAGTGTGAGCTTGTGTTTATCTCGCTACTGCAGACCTTGGGCACGCGCCACATCAAAGCTGGGTTCGACCAGGCAGTGGATCATCTATCAAAATATAAACCTAAAGAGGTCGACGAGCAACAGCGGTCCGGCGTCACGCCACTGGTCACTTTTCTGGAGCTTGTTAATGTGGGAGATCTGATTCAACAGATGTTGGACGTTTTCTACGAACAGGAACTTATCACAACCAAGCTCTCTGACCGCAATGACTTCCTCAACCCTGCTGTCAAGGAGAAGAAACGCTTCGAGCAAATACTTGACGAACGTGTGGCCGCTGGGCTCAACAAGGGTATCGAGGTATTGATGGCAGAAGTAGAATACTTGAACGCTACTAGCCAGAAACCTCAGGATTTCAACCCAGGTGCTGCAAGCGGAGGCGATCCTGACGTTATGGATATTGGTCCGAGTCAGGCAGCAATACAAGTCATCGAAACTGTTTCGTCCCACACGAGGATGCTGGTCGGCAGCACGGACAAGAATATGCTTGATGTTTTCAACCAGGAAGTTGGAATGAGGCTCTTTGCAGCATTGTGCAAACATCTAAAGAGACAGCGTATCAGCGTTAACGGCTCACTCAAATTGATAAGGTGCTTGAACTCTTTTACCGATCAGGTTTTGGTGCTGACCATTTCCCAGTGACATGAACCTCTACTTCACGTACATACAAACACTCAAGAATGAGGACCTACTTCAATTTTTCAAGGCGCTTCGCGAGCTCTCCCAGATATATCTAGTCGATCCCGCTGATGCGAAGGAGCTTGCGACCATCATTGCAGACGGGGACCGTTTCCATGGGATTTTTCGCGCAGAGGAAGTTTATCAGTTCGCGGAAAGGCGAGCGGACTGGTATCAGATCAAGAGCAAAGTGGAGAGAGCAATGTATGGTATCGGCTGCATGGTAATGTGAGTAGCATTGGGATTGAGATTTGGACTTGCTAGCATCTGAACGAGTGGAACACGGTGGGTGTATATATTTGTGGGCACTATGTGGATATGTACATTATCATGTTACATACGACCTGCAGCTACAACGCTTCTTCCTCATGCAAGTAGAAGCCTCCTACAGTGTTGTTTCGCAACACGCAGATCCATCGGAAAATGAATACTCCTGCCTTTATTTCTATCCCCTTGCGTCGACAGTGGAAAGAGTGTCACAGGAGTCGCTTGAAAGACTCGATCATAACCACACACCTCCCTCCATAGTGCCACCTTGAAAACCCACAGCCGTCACGATGTACAGAAGAAAGGTTTCGCATCGGAAACGGCACTGACGATCATCTCTCTTCCTCTTCCACTTTCACGCCTCGCATGTCGCCTCCGTGAAGTTCTACAATGTAACAGGGGAGTTCTTGACTGCTACCGTGCTGATAACTGCTCCTGTGGGGGCGAAACGTGGTCGCGATATGTGGTGATGGGTGGCTGGTCGGTTCATGGGATGAGACGGATCGTCAGCACCGTCGGGGGAATAAGACAGGTGTGATATTTTTGGATAAAATCGAGTCTCTGGACTGGACTGGGACTGGGACTGCTCTATCTACTCTACACAGAATTGACGTGTACGCTATGCCCAAAAAATGATCCGTCGATAAGCCCAGCCTGTTCCATCAGCTGTCCTCCATGGTCTCGATTGGACACTGAACCGCGTCTCTTGGATCGAAGGATCCGTAGGACAATTGTGCCGCGCACGTTCCGAGTCCGCAAACTCGCGTGGTAATGATAAATGAAAGGGCCAATTGGGGCCGTTGATGTCCGGGGAATCATCCAGATATCGCCGGACTACTACTTTGAGAACTTTCTTTCCATTCATTCAACGGCTGTGCAAGCTCGTATCTGGACCTGGCATTGCAAACAACGCACTCACTTGTCTGGATTGGCGACCTGCATCCTTTGCAGTTGCAGATAGCTTGAGACAACTGGGAATCCTCGGGAAAGTGCTTGAGCACAACGGGGTCGTTGAGCTTGATGTGTGGGCCAACGTCAAGATTGAGGGGTCTCAAGGCATTAGCGACAACGAATCTGGAAATGCTTGATCCGACGTTGACAGCGAGAAGTGGACGACACGTGACCGTTGCTTCCAAGCTCAGCCAGATAGAGTGAAGTTTGCATTCACAAGGCCCATAAGGCCAGGAAAATGTGCGAGCACCTGCAGCAGCCGGCTGGAATCGGTCAGGGCCTTCACGGTAAAGCCTGAACCGGCGAGTTGTCCTACACCTTGTTGGGGCAGATCCACAATCTTCCTTCGTGACCACGACATTGACGCTCTGAGGGTCCGTCGCGGACGGCAGCGATAGAAAGAAAGGAGATAGCTCAGACTTTGATGCAGCTACCGCAGACGAGCTTCGATTTCGAGCGTCGCTGATCCCTCTCAAGCATACAGAGAAAGGCAAGCCGCTTCCCTTGTCCCTCTATTCCATTATACCCGGCCGCACGTTGATTGGGAAGTATGTCCTTCACGACGATGGTAGAGCCGAGGTAGAATTTCTTGCATGCATAGCCCAACGAAAGTAAGCTTGATGGTGGTAAACTTGTCTTGACACAAAGCATAATTGCCGAGGGCAGATTTGTAGTTCTAGCGACTAGCGAGAGCGTGAGAATGCAGGGTTCCATCCCTGGGTTTGCAAGACTCGGACGAAGTCAGAGCCGTTGAAACGTTGGTCCGGAGGAGACAGATCCTGGACGGAACACACTCCAGTCTTGTGTAACGAGGTAGTTGGGACTAGGGCTGGTTGCTCAAGTGTAGCCATGGCACCTTCTGGGCTTGAGCGGCGAAGGCTTCTGCATGTGCCTCGTGCAAATTTGACTTGGTCGGTACTCATGAGATGAAGACATTCGTTGGCCAATCCTCCAGACCGAAAGCGTTCTTCTGTCAGGAACTCGTGTGGTTTCGGACTCCACCGAGGTACAAGTATTTGGAGTCACTTACCTAGTGAGCGCTGAAGATCTAGAAGTGACTTAAAACTGTCTTGTCAAATACTTAGCGATTGATCCCCAAATTCTTTGTTTGTTTTGTACGATCAGAGAAGAAGGGAACAAATGCTGCACTCAATCATGTAAATTTCAATAGTACTACGCTTTGAGAGAATTCAGAATAAACAAAATGCATTCATGCTTCTCAGGCCAGTTTTTCCAAAATTCAAAAATCGTGTTCAGATGCTCTACGAGGCGTGTCCGGCAAATGGACCACGTAGCAGCTTAGAGAGTGGAGTATCTGGAAGCCGCCTGAGAGCGCTTGTTGCGACGGAGATACATGATCTCTCCATTGTTGTTCACCTTCACGAACGTTTGTACCAGAAAGAAGAGCAGTCTACCAACAAAGACTGTACCGGCGTATATTTGTATGGCCTGCTTGATATGGGTGATGAAACCAGTGTACAGGCTTTGAATTCTCCTAGATAGCGGTGTTTTCGTGAGCTTAAGACGAGCGCCGCCTTAGACGGCTGCATGATTACTCACTCATCCATTCAAGCAACTTGTCGCATGTCGCGTTTATCTGTCAGAGTTGATCCCCAACCGAGCTCCTGCGTTACGCTTGTTTTAATGCGACACGCGATGTCGCATTGATACTCACCACCCTAGCCTCTCAGCAAAGCAATCTGTAACAAAGTCAGTACTGCCTTTCGCTCTGTTTAAGACCGAAAACTATGGGCATTAACAGTACCCCAAGCCTTGCTGTGCTTCTATCCCTCCTCTTCAAAACACTATGCGTATCCGCTGTCGAGAAGAGTATTTGCAGTCTCTCATACTTTGGCCTTCCTGACTACCGCGCCTGCTACTCTCTGCTATTCAGTGGCACGAAGGGGAGACAGAAAGGGATCAACGTCATAGACGGCGCGGACCATGCATTCCTCCTGCAGGATTTTGCAGAAGCCTCCGATTTCACAAAGGAACAGTGGAAGTACAAGGTCTACATCCCTCACGTGTTCAAGAATGGTAGGTATCTCTGACCCCGATGTCCGAGGTTCGAGATTTCAGACTGATTTGAAGTTCTTCGGGTCAAACTCAGAGGGATGCAAGATCCTTTTAGCCGTTCAAGCGGATCCGAAAGGGGGCTTCACTCATGACAGCTCACATTGGTCGTATATAGCAAACGACGGACGGCAAATATTGGAGGATTGCCTGAGTCCTCTGCACTCTGGAAGGCCACGCTCGGGCGGTCAAGGGAAATCAGGTGCGTAAGCTCAGTCGGAATTATTTGCAGCACCGTGAAAGGCTGACGTAGTTGGCTCAGGTATTGGGCGTAAACTTGTCATGTACCTGTATTCCTGGGGGTCGAGCTTCGACCGTAACATAACGCCACAATTAGCTGCAGGCAACACAATCGTCGCCAGTAGCGATGGAGCTGTGGGCAACGTCAGTGTAACTGCACCGTTCTCAAAGCCTTTCCCGATCTTCCCTTACAAGGCCCCTACTCCAATCAATGTGACGGCCTTCCAGTATGGCCAGGAATGCTCTTCCAATGGCGACTGCAGGGCAGATGGTTTCGTCTGTGTCGTTGGTTCCATTGGAGACTCGGAGAGCAACCTTTGGGCCGGGACGTGTGAGCTCCCATATGCGGAGGTCTCCAATGGACAGAAATCGAATACCTCCGAACTCACTTCCGGGGTATCATCAAATTCGTCAAACACGATCGAACTGCTAGAGATGGTCATTCCTGTGGCTTGTTCATGTAACTGCACCTATGTCTCTAAGTCTTGCTGTGGCTCCGCATCAGGGGTTGTAAATGAGGCAGCGGCACTGAAACTTGGGACGCTCAAGGCACCCAGTGGGCAAATTTGCAATCCGACTACTGGTCGATTTCAGACAGTGTCAGCTTCATCTGATCTGAGCCCAACGTCTTGATATGAATCATCAGAAACTTGCTCGTTGACAAATATTGTCCACAGTCAACCTCCCTTTCTTCGAGACCCGACATTTGAGACGGCTGAGATGAGGCTTGTATGGAGACCTTTTTGAGGCGTCAAATCTATCACGTCTTCGCATCAAACATGACGCTTTCCCTCCTCACCCCCACCCGCAACAGCTGCCGCTTTTGCTGCCTTCCTGGCCACATATCCGAAGTCCAGCTCGCCGCCTCTCATAATAGCAGCCATGGGCGTCTTCTCCGTGATCACGATTTCGGCCATGATTGCACGGCCCACGCAATCACTGTACTTCTCGAGTGCATCTCTGTCGTTGGCTTCGAGCTTGTCGACTGGGACCTGCGAAAGGTTGCCGCAAGTGCGCTGAATGAATTCCCAAGTGAAGAAGAGAGGCCTAGGAGTGCGGCCATCGTGAGGATTGTCCCGCATTTGGGCATGCTGGCGGAGTAGTCTTGATTGAGAGTCAGTGATGGGCTGAAAACAGGCAATAGATGAGCAATAGCGGCTGAATCGAAAAGGCTAAGAATAAAGGCGTATGAACTATCAAAGCAGTAACAGAGGCTTACCTCAAGAGTTCATGAAGTCCTTTAAGGAAGGCATCGCGTTGAGCAGCTTTTACGTTCCTGATCATGGCGGGCATGTTCGAGCCAGCTTTATTTGAGACCTCCATTGCTATCCCTCATGCAGAAGGCATTGAAGACTCGGCACGATATTACTTGGTGCTGATGCATACTGCAAATGCAGGGTGGAGTACTCTCTATAGTATTCATCGCCGTCATCGGTCAATTTCCGATGGCCTGCAAACGCGCGACTGCCAAGAGGCGAGCTAAACGCGATGTCACGTGGTTGGCGGCATCAAGACTCTCTGCCAGGCACTTTAGTGCTGGCTTGGGAAAGAAAATGTGCCGGATACTCCTTATAGATTTGGAAACTCTTCTGCATTCGCAAATTGGAGTAAATGAGCATCAGTGATGAAGTTGCATTCACTACTACCTTTTACCCACGGAGTATTGTCCTATGGGTCCTGATCTACTGTTGTAGGTTTGACGCGTCCGGGAAATGACGAACTGTGCAATGTGGGGTAGCCAACCGCAATTCTTGGCTTCCTATCCCCTCTCTCTCTACGAGGATACTCAACTTCGCACGTGAAACATCCCACCGCTTGCACTCTGTAAAGCGTTCCTTACGGCACAACTAGCATCGAAAAGATCATTCATTGCCATGGCGGACGAACAAAAACCCAAGAAGGCTCCAGGTGCCCGACCAGACAGGGTGAGATTGGTGGTCCTCTTGTACCGCAAGAAAGGCCTCAGCATAGAGGAATTTCACGCTTCCTGGTACGCACTCCGGAATCGTCTCTTCCTTCTTTGTACCGAGGTCTGAGCCTCAAGACGTGGCTGAGCAACATAGTCTTTGTGCTTCCCAGCCCTGCCTTCTGGCTATAGCTCGTCGAGAAGGAGCAATGCTGACTTCGCAATCTGCGTAGGCGAGACGATTTCGCTCCCATCATGTCTGGCGTACCAATTTTCAAGAAGAATCTGCTCACTTATGAACAAGTGCGTCACACTGCCATCCAATGTTCGTGCCGGTTCCACGTCACTCATCACGGGCTAATGTAGCATCGAATCTCTGCAGTGTCATGTCAATGGGGAGGCTCTAAAGGAACTTGAGACAAAAGGCTTTCCTCTTGAAGGGTGCGATGGGGTAAATTTTCCTTAGCCCCCGTATCTTGAGGAAATCTCCTAATTGTACGGATCAGATTGCTATCTACGAAGCTTTGTCCTATGACAAGGTTCGTTCTTTCTACCAAACGTAATGAGAAAAGAGCAGTGACCGATCGTGCTGTCAGATTTTTGAGTGCTTGAACGATGAAGAGTTCCGGAAGATCATAGCTCCGGAGGAAGAGAAGTTGCTGGATGAGTCGAGGGTAAAGTGTGCTAGGCTCTGAATTTTATGCCGCTCGCTCACAGTTAATTAGTCATTGGCTTTCCCAGTGGACATTGTGTCGATCTTTGACGACGTACGTATTATTGAAGCATTTCTTACTGTTCGGTCCTGCAGTATGGGTCGCAAGATATGCCTCAGGAGCCAGGCATCTTTTTGCCCTATAAATCAGTCTTGATACTCGAATTCGCCTACTCGAAAAAGCAATACTAATTCTGATATCCCTAATAGCCTACCTAAGAGACGTTGGACTCTCCAGAGCTGTCAATGTCTCCCAGCAAGACATTGGGACTCGGGCAGGCCACGGAACGCGCGAAAAATACAGCACCAGCGTCCTTTGCTACTGTAAATAGCACTGAAATCCTTTGGGTCTTTGAGCCTTGACTGCTGAAACACTTGTTCACCTGCTTGCTTTAGAGTTTGGCTTGCGGACCAGCAAGAGTTTGAAGCTGAATTTGAAGCTGAGAGTCAATTTTCACGTCATGCCAGCACAAAGCGTTTACGAGGGTGAAGTGGGTAAAAGCAAGCGCTGGGACCCAAGATTCCCTCCTTCCGACGATAAGATCTCCTTATGACGGCCATGACGACAACAATAGCAAGCAGGGTCATCTAGTCAAAAGTCTGAACACAAAGGAACAGGATGTTTCATTAGGTCCATGTCGAATTGACTCATGCAGATTGCATGTATCGACTAAAAGAAGAGCCTATTGTCTTGTCTTCTACGGAGGTCGGTACCAAAAGTCCGGATGCCAAAACTCGTGCGCTAAGATCCCTGATGAAGGCTGCCTGGACAATGCGCTTGCAAGTGCTTCGGAACTGCACCTGGCCTAGCCCAGTTTGGGGCCCAACGCCCGGTACAACGCCCAAAAGAGATCTCCAAAGTTCAATTCATATGCTGCCAGGAGATGGTTTCCAAGGTCTCTCCTGTTCTCCCACTCCCGGGCTGCCTTCGGAACTAAGCTTAGGGCTGATACTAGCGCTGTCCAGGACTTGCGGTGCCGACTTCGCATTCGTATTATCATATATATCATTCTCCGTTATCGCTTGCACGACATCAACACCATTCATCCAGGTATCCGCTGGGCTTGCCAGTGCATTACCCTCTCCAATGCAGGGTCCTTAAAGACTTTCGGCCGACGCAGGGCACAACAGGGTCTAGTGATGAACTCCTCGGGTAGGTCAGTCCCGAGCTTATGGGTGAACCTACCCAGTTTTCTGTGACAGTATGCGTCCACAATGCTAAGGTACGTTTGCCAAGATCGGAGAGATTAGCCCGACTACAGATATTGGAGCTAGACAGTAACTTGAAGAAGCGTGGGTACAGTTCCTAAGGAAAAAGGGAATCCATTGACTCGAGTTTCAAGGCTACTTAGTAGCTATAGCTATGTCGGTGATCCTACGCGTCTCGGTGGCGTTTTCATACCCTGTCCACCGCAATCACGCAGGTGATCTTGCAGAAAAGGGGTCTGATTCCTGCAAGTTGGGGAGGCTATCGACCCGGCGTGCGTGGGATCTGTACAAGAAGCGAATACGAAGATTCCAGGGGAGCCAGACCCTGATAGTATGGTACGTGTGTGTTGCCGTAGATTGAGGGGTACAATTTTTCCAACTGTGATCTGGAGGTTTGTATCCAACCCCCGTCATTCCCACTTTCTGCATTTCATAAAACAACCCAAAAGCGAAAACAGCACTGGAAAAAGCCATTGCCCTCCATGGCAGACGAACAGAAACCGAAGACTAAGTCCTTCGCTGCGAGGAAGGACAGAGTGAGGTTGACGCTTCTCGTGTACCGAAAGCCAGGCATGAGCCTCGATGAATTTCATCAATACTGGAAGAACCAGCACGCAGAGCTTTTCAGCAGCATTGCCATCGTCAAGAAGAATTTGCTCAGTTATGTACAAATGCGTGAAGCTTGCGTCGGGTACTCTCGGTCCGTGGCTGCATAGGGCTAACATCGTCTATATTGTCTCTGCAGGCTCATGTCAATGAAGAAGTAAGTACGCCTCCGCTAGATTCGTTCCCCGTCTATGCCAAGATGTGAGCCCGAAGATCTTTTTCGGGAGCAGAGACCTCGTTGGCCCACAGCACAATCCTGACCTTGAAGCTTGACCTTGAAGAAGGAATGCTGACCTGGAAACCCTGCGTAGGCTTCGGCACAATTGAAGCAAGTAGGCTTCCCTGTCTCTGATGCCGACGGCGTGAGTTCACTTCATTCATGCCGCTTTCGAGGAGCATTCTCCAACCGTCCTAGATGGCTATATTTGAAGCCCCTTCGTACGCAATGATAGCTGCTTGCTTCCAAGACGAAGAATACCAGAAGATTGTGGTGCCGGATGAGGAGGTGCGTAACTTCAAGTCCAGATTTCATCTGCTGAATAGAGTCTTGGAAACTTGGGTCATCTGTTGGCAATGTTCATTGTGTAGACATGCCAAAGATATCGAGTTTTCGAGAAAGCAATGCTAACTCTAGGATGCTTGTCCAGAATTTCTTGGACCGGGGCAGATGTTTTGCATTAGCGGCGGAGTTGGTGCCAGTCTTGGATGATGCTACCTAATGTACACGTCTTATTTCGGGAATGTTGGGCTCATGGGGCTGTCCATCATGTCTCCTAGCAATATATCTTCTGCCGGTGGACCGCGATTGGTACGAACTGCCGTGGCATTAGCAATTCTTGGCTGCTTCAGATGGCTCATGAATCAATATACCCCATTCCTGTGAAAGCATTAGAATCATCTGCTACTGCGAATGGCTCATGAGCCTACTCACCGTTTCCACTCGAAAGAAGATCCATAGCCACCCTAATACTGAATGAGTAAACGGCACATGTTGAAAGGGTCATTCACATACGCCGTAGGACTTCTAAGAACTCCATAATGAAGATCGATCCTTCTAAATCATTAAAGTGATCTAAATGCGGACTGAGCTTGAAACTCCATGTACACCGCAACATAAGGTCTATTAATATTGCGCCGTAATACCTGTTTTGTTGTTAGTCTACACTATTGTAACATCTTGATATGGGTACAGGGGTTTCACATTTGTTTACTGTGAAAATGTTGGTGTCGTCGTAATCCCCACGGGTGCTCAGGGTTATTGCGCACGGAGGAGGGAGCAAACAGAGTGAGGTCCCAATCCTGAAGGAATTGATTGGTCAGAACGCATCCCGAGCAAGTGCATGTAGGGATGAGGGATTGGTACTTTGGCAACGTCCCAATAGAAGGAGTAGAAGGAGTTGAGGAAGACAAAGAACAACCTGGGCCTATGTCAATCGTGGCCTTGTACAGGTCTAGAAGCTATGTCCTACCACAAACGGAATAAACTCGCTTCGGTCATGCCAAAATCGTTCGGATTCGTCCCTCGCTGCAGCGCGCTCAGCACGATGACTGGGAAAGCGCTGGAATACTTCAGAGCATTTGCGAGATGTTGTCTGCGTGATTTAATCAGCTCTCTCTTCGTATTGACTCCACGAAAGGGCCTCCGCATACCCGCCCCAACCTGTGGTTGCATTCTTATTAGGGTTGTTTCTGACCCTCAAGAATTCAATCAAACACTGCCTGAGCCGTATCATGCTGGGAACGCTGATGATGAGTGGCACCATGTAGGCGCCACCACAATTTCGATCAGGCTTGCCCGTAGACGAAAGCCCCGGAGACAGAAGCATGCACCAAGACACGAATAAGTCACCGAGAACTTTTGCGTACGATGTTAAGACATCGGCCAAAAGTATGTCTCCGAACTTTCCATTGTCTGCTTCTGCAATCCCCCCAATGCTGACACGTTTCAAAGTCGAAAGGAATCGGTATCGGCCTGTTCGTGACAGGCGTTGGAAAGGCAGGAGAAAGAAGACGGCGAGTAGGAAGAGGAACGATTGAGGGAGGATATCCCACGCGAGGACCAGAGCCGGTTGTCCATGTGTGATAATCCAGAAGAGCAGGATAGAAATGATGAGGGGCACAGTTACTGTGGCCGCAAGCTGGTATGTTCGGCGGTGGTGCGGAGGGATGCTGGAAGAGGTTCGAGTGTGATACTTGATCAGTATTGGCAAATCCTTGGACAATCCCATCAGCCAAATGATACTGCGGGTATGGTGCTTGCCATGCTCACGATCTTCAGGATAGACAGGTAGTGTAAATTAACCCCCCAAGCCCACACGCCTAAGAGTGTATTAGCCACACTGCATTGGCTAGTTGGGAGAGGATAACGCATACCAAGAACAAGGATGACTGCGATTCTGTACGGCAAAGGCAGTAGTAGACTAAAGGCGTCGAGCTCAGGCTCGACAGCTGGATCCCCATCCATGCTGTAGACATAATCAACCGAACATTCTCAAAGGTGTAAACCAAAAGAAGGAATGAATGTGATTAGAGCAAGTCTTCTTGCTCACGCGAGCTTGAGAGTAAGGTATTGTACAGTTTGCGCATACTCGGGTGCCGCTTGAAGCCAAGTGGCTTGCGACCTTAAAGAGGCAATGGATCTTGTGCCGAGGCAGTCAAATGTGGAGACGCTTCGAGGAAGCTTACGGAGTATATGCCTGGAACATCGAGTATGGAAGAGACAGGTCATGGCAACTTCCAATCTCCCCAACGATCACGTACACGACGTTCCCAGATCATTGACCTCGGACTACGCCTTCCCTTTCGCTGCCGCTCCAGACATAATACGCTCCAATCAGAAAGATATTCACTTCCAAGGCGTCCTCTTTGAGCAGCTCTCTACTATCCTTCGCCGTCTATACGGGTCGCGGTTCTCTCACAGATACGGCTCCGAAGCCCGCACATTCACTGAGCTGCTTTATCTTGGGCTCACTACCGTGCTTGGCAATCGCAGCCTGGGCGAGGAGTACTGTGATATCTATCAGATCGAAAATCAGTCCAGGCAGCTTCCTACCATAGGTCGCCGCACGGGCTACGTACTCTCGGCCGTTCTCCTACCCTACACCCTCAGCAAGCTTCTCCCCAGTCTTCGCTCTCGCATTCGCCTCAAGATCGAAAGCAATCTCAGTCGGGCGCCAAAGTCTTCTAGAGCCTCTCTATACTATCGTCTCCAGTTCTACCTCCTAGAGAACCTGTCCACCATAACCTCAGTCTCGACTTCCCCTATATACGCTATTTTTCTCGCGGTATTCTACTTCACAGGCTCCTATTATCACCTCAGCAAGCGGCTCTTCGGGCTACGCTACATCTTCTCGAAGCGCCTGGCCCCCTCCCAACAGCGCGTAGGCTATGAAGTTCTCGGTGTGCTATTAGTGCTTCAAATAGTTGTGCAGGCTTATCTGCACGTCCAGAATACTATCACAACCGCTCTACCAACAGAGGGATCCAGTGCTTTCCTCGATGATGGGGTGGAGATAGGTCTCCAAAGCCACCAAGGAACCCAAGAAGCTAGCGACCTGCTGGAGCCCTCAAAACCCATGGAGAGAGCAGATACCAGCCGCAATCGTATCTCAGTTACAACCCATACGCCTCTCCCCACGTCCTCCCTCCCGCGCTACGATCTCTCAGATCCGTCATGCCTCGCCTGGTTACAACCGAAGCAGCAAAGAAAATGCACACTGTGCCTCGAGCCGATGAAAGATCCGTCATCTACAACTTGCGGACATACGTTCTGCTTCACGTGTATTTTAGACTGGCTGGGTGAGAAGCAAGAATGTCCATTATGCAGGCAAAGGGCTTTGAGCCAACACGGTAGGTATCTTCTGAGCGTTCAATTCCTTAAGAAGCAATCTCATTCGCGTCATGCTAATTCAACTTTGGTCTAGTCTTACCACTGAGAGGCTGAGTAGGATAAGTGCGAGGCTGTTAACACAGGGGGGAATGGAAGTATGAGGGCCAGATTCCGAGAGGTCTATGCCCGCAGCGACCCTCATGTAGTGGTCACGCAAATGGCAGAAACTGCGTCATAGTGGAAGCAGATGAGCGATGACTCGAGCTGACTGTATGCGCCTCCTTTGGTGCATCGAATGCCATGGTAATAAATGATGCAGGCACCAAGCCCGCCTCTTGCCCTGTTTTGACCTCGAGCTACATGTGAAAGCCATGCTGCTCAGACGTGACAGATACTGAATGAGAGGAACGAGAGGCTCTTGGTGCGATATTGATCAAGGATCGCTGGAGCAGCGGCTCTGTGAGGTGTCCCTATTGGTATGCCCCTTCAGTGGTGTGAAGCCATAAAATGGAGCATAGGTGTCGATTACTAACCGAAGAAGCAAGTATGGATTGCGTCTTCTTATTTATGAATCTCTTTTTCCCGAAAGCCGCTCTCGTAGCTTTCTGGGGAGGATAAACTTCTTTCTCTTGTTTCTTGAGCTGAGCAGGCTTGCGTGGCTACTTTAGAAATTGGAGAGTTGTATCGAAAGATGGTATACCAATATTGGTTAATGTGCTGCTTGAGTGTTTCCGTTGCGATTATCTCCAATCTCACAAAATCTGGGACTTTGAGCAGATCCTCCATACCGTACAGTCTCATCAGATCAAATCTTGTTTCCCCAAGAAGTCGCAGCCGAGAAGCAGGTTTGGATCCAGCGCGAGAAGCTCTGGCTGGTCGAAAGCTACAGACCATACGTTTTCTGGAACTCAGGCACGACTCAAGGGGCAGGGATCTTTCCACTCGGTCCTATGGCGAACATGACGGAGAATGCGCGCAAGCAGCATCTTTCGTGAACTATCTGGGTAAAGGATTTCCGAGCCCCGCATTGCTGTCGACGAGCAGCTGGTTTCTGGGCCAAATTCCTTCCGCCAAGCCACAAGCGGCCAAAAATAAGCCCTCCGTCCGACAATCTCAACATCGATCAACCCCGAAGAAGTTCCGAAGCCCCGGTCCAGAGAGTGTTTCGGTAAGCCACAGTCGATCAGCAAAGAACTCTCTGGCCGCGACGATCTCAGCACACAACGTTTGAGCAAGTGCAAGGATATCCGCTCAATTTTTGATACCCTGCACAGCTCAACAGAGGCTTCGCCTAGCGAACATCAGCTAATTCGACGCCTAGACGGAGCATACATCATGGAGAACACTGACGAATTCGAAACCGTTTTCACCGAGCTACTCCGACTACCCGGGGGATGCACGGGTGGCATTGCAGTCTCGGGATAAGCTAATTCGGAGCGGCTTCTTTCCTTGCGATGCGAACTCGGTGAGGTCCGATGGATTTGTCATGAGATCGTCTACTAATGGTGTAAGCACTTGGCTTGCATCCATGCGAGGTATGATCCAAGCGTTTTGCGGCTTGTTAGGAATGAAGGGAAAAGATCGCTTTGCACGAAATGAGCTATCGAAGAAAGAGCGTCGAAAAATCGCAAAAACGCTATCTCTACCGAGCACTAGAGTCGCGAACCTGAGCAGGCCAACATAAGCATCAAGTGATCTTCGGGGCAGTATCCATTCGAAGCTAGATCAACGGCAATGCCAGGACCTCAATACGCTCAGACCCTCGTCATCTTGAGCATGTCCAAGTCCATCTTCCGACCATCCTCGTGAGCTCTTGTTTTCATGCCCGGATTGTCTGTCGAGGCCATGAGCAGGTACGGAGCGTACAGACGGCCGTAACAAGTAGATGGCAAGAATAGCCCGTCAACTACCCCCTTGGGGTCCAAAACGATTGCCATGCAGAAGCGTTGTCCGTTGACAAAATACTACTAGATACCGTAATGAGTGAACAGAGGCTTACTCGGCAGGTTCTCATCGATTAAGTGCTCTCATCATTGTATAATTTAGCTGCGTCCATTTATGCACGCTTCCGTGAAAATGAGAAGGTCGCCCATTCCTGCCACACTTCTGCGGAGTTGAGCTCAATTCTCGACGCAAAAGCGCATTGGGAGTTTCGACATCAATACGAATTGGGAAGCTTTCTTTCAAGTCGCAATAATAGCGCTGCTGCTGAGAGATGGGACAATAATGCACAAAGAGCGGGCCAAGCCAAGCGCGCCGTAGTCCGTGTGTACGTGGAGTACCTCTCGCGGTGAAGCGTGCCGCATATGTTTACTCCCGGTCTACCCCTCTGTTTTTGTTGGTTTGGTCAAGATCGGAAAGCGCACAACGGAACCATCTGGGGAGATAAGGCTATGGAGGGGGTTCGAGAAGGGAAGGCTGGGATGATCCGATTAGCCCTTAGAAAGCTTATCCAAGCAACATATGCGAGTCGAAGACATCAGATGCTGGTACATTTCACAAACCATAGTCTCTCACCTATTGGGGCGAAAAGAGGCATCCTCCTCGATGTCATTGAACCAATTGACCCCGAGTCTGATCGATTTCCCTCATCCCTTATAGTGCTGAGAGCTTGGGGTCCAATTTCAGCGAAGGTGTAGCCGTGGCGATAATACTTGTCGCCGTCCTCGCCTGGTACTCTGGATCCAAGAAGCCTAGGAATCCAAGCTCCCGGCCCCCAACGTCGCATACCAAGGATACGCTAAGTAACTGAACCAATCATACCGTTCATTGTGACTGTCACGTCCGGCTTCTATCCAATGTTCTCGCGGGAAATCAGGTCGAGGTAAGGCGAAATAGCGAACCAGTAACCTTCGACCATCGAGCATGCCATTGATTACATTGTGATACATAGCGGGTGACTTGGGGTACCTGGAATTCGATGAGCCAAGGAGAGCACAGACAATCCTCTGGAACTCCCATCATCAAGCGTTGCAATCGGCCTACCAGTAGCGAAACAACCATCATTCTGCAAAGATCGCGATGTTTGGCAGGTCACTTGGGCAACGGGGTATATAATTGCGAATCTGCAAGCTGTTTATTATCGTCAGCAGGAACCATATGTGCATCCTCATATTTATGGCTCCATTTTTTCCGGAAATCCATTCGCGCTATAGCTTCGATAGCTCTTTCCCATGTTGGTCTATTTCGTCCAAATTCGAGAAGGAGCACCCCAGCATCAGCAGCCCGCTTCGATGCAATTTCGAGATCCTTGAGTTGCCCCGTCGCTGCTAAGGGGAGAAGATATACCGGGAATTCCGTATGTCTAGACGTCCAGATCAGTCAACGGCGAGTCGCAAAGGCACTTCTGCGCGCTGCCTACGCTGAAGAGAGCCATGACCGTTGAAACTTCGTAGAGTTTCGGGAACTCCAATTCAGTAGTGGTTTTTGGTATAGCCTGTGCGTCATCTACAGTCATATTGCGAAGGCTTTCTCGGCCTGTAGGCGCGTGCTTTCTCGCCAAGCTTTCGGCTCTTGGCTATCGAAGGACGAGCAACTAGGAAGCGGTAGACAAGCATGCCTAGCACCAGAACGAACTTCCATCGTTTCGCAAAAGGATCGGGTGTCATGATATCTGGCTCCGTTGTAGGGTCTTTGCATGGTGGATCGGTCGTAAACGAGAGAAGAGTACAATCATGGAACGGGTCCTCTAAACTTTGAACTACTTCACCCTTCGTACTTGTACGTCTTGGTGCAGAGCTACGTTTTTCTTGGCGGTGTCCTGCCATTCTACTACTTTTGATGGAACGTCTATCTTCTTGGCACGAAAGTACCCACCAACGGATGCCGGTTATGGTACACTCAGGGAACGATTCAATTGGAGGCAGACTTCTCGGCCGCACGACATAGCTCCGGGATCGCCGCCCAGCTGATGGCTGTGCTAAGGTAGGTACCGATCAACCTGCGACGAGACTCTGCATCATCAGCGCTAGTAGATGCACCTCAACCATCCCCTTCGAAAGTGAAACTCGTAGCCACGCAAGACTGTCCGTTGATTGTGATTTCCTATTGGTCTGCTGAACTCACCCTGCTGCAAGGCTACCTGCCACATGCATCTCGCTTATGTATGTCAGCCGTACGCCCTACTAGCCCATTCGAATCTCCTGGTCACTCTTCGGCTCTTGCTTTCTTTAATATTATTCATGATGCGCACAAGGCTGTGAGAGTAGTCTGCATGTGACCCTGACCGTCTACAGCCGAGACTCTGCTAGAGCCAAAGTTTCCTAGAAGATTTAACAAGCAGTCGTTGTTCTCACCAAAACTTGCTAGCTGGATGGTCCATCCTTTTAGCCCCGCCGCATGACAACGAGATTTGAAACGGGTTTCGTCAGGTCGGAGATTAAACCTTAATTTGAGATAGAATGTAGAGCGCCATACGGAAATGCTGTGTATCCTAGTGGTGGCAACAGTTCGGGCCTCAAAGGACAGTTATCCGACATTCTGATGGGTCCCGCTCATCAGAATCGTAGGGACTCAAGGCCACCCTGGTCGTAGCGACTGTTTTCCTCCATTCGGAACCTCCTCGCACAGGTAGACAACTTTTGCATGAACTCACCAATCTCCCCAGACTTTTTATAGTTTTATCATTCCTTTATAGATCATCAAACGCCGCTCCGTTAGCAGAGCCAGCAGCTCATGCCCTCTAACGGAGCTTTAAGCGTCAAGGAAATGCCTCAATTGCATCAATCGCCTCTTTACGACGGGCCTCTTCCAAGATGTAAAGGCCGGTAACTCTCTCCATTCCGAGACCGTTCAGCCGCTATCAACATTCTTTGTCTCTTATAAGCGATACTGACCCCGAAAATACCTCCGGAGGAGGGCACGCGCACGTGTTTGAAGCTTGGATGGCTCTAAGCCATACGCGCTGAAGGTGCGCAGCTCGCCTTGACTCCTCGCCTCTCTGCGGTATGGTCTTCTTTACATAGTTCAAGTTCTATGACGATGAAAGTGGCCGCGCAGCTTTATTGGGCAAGGAGCACGACCTCATATCCGTTGATATTCTCCGCGGCCATAGGAATCCCTTCTACAACGAATTGCTCGCTTATGGGCGAATCGTTGACACCAAAGTGTACGGAAAATTAGCGGTGCGTTGCTATGGCTTCCTGACAATCCCGGCGGAAAGGGAAGAGGAGATAATAAAGAATTTCAATGTTGAAGCATGGGATCCGCCCGACAGCGAGTATATCAAGCCAGCGTAGATAAGACAGTCATTTCGAGTCATCGTGAAAGACTTGATCAGCGAAGATGTACTAGTTACCTCGCGATTGGTCAAGAAGATTTTGAGGGTCTGAAAATGATGCGAAAATTGGGCATCTACCGATGGATGTTCAGGCACGGAACTACAAGTGGCGGGCTTTTGGTTGATTTCAGCGCCGCGATGACGGAGCCACACTACCTTATCGTAATCAAGCCGAGGTGGAGAACAGAAGAACATGAGCTGAATGACCTGAATGCTTTCGATAGCATGGTTAGTGATCGAGGATTTGTCGCATAGGGGAGAGCGGTGCCGAACCCTGAGTACTGCGAGAAGCCTCGGTCCTATGATAGCAAGAAGTCAGAGCAAAAAAGATGAACGAACCTTATCTGAGGGTACTGAGACTACTTCGTTCTCAAAGGGGAGCGAAGCACGAGGATAATGGACGCGTTTGAGGCGAAAGCGGCATATTTCACGAAAGATCTATGAGTGCTTTTCTGTCGCATTATGAAGGTCATGCGAAATTGTTCATTGGGTCGCAACTCAGCTTAGCGCTCCCCCTATCATGGGTGTGGCCGCAAGACACAGATGAGATAGTGAAATCATGGACACGGAATGATAGACGAAAAGAGCGCTTGAGAGTCTAAAAAAGTAGCACGCCGCGATGAAGAAAAAATATAAAGTACCTTGGTCCATCCGGGTTTAAAACGGCCACCGATGATCTACATCTACTTTAAGGCAATCGGGCGGCGCGCGGCCCTTGCGCGGCAGCACGGCAAAGGAAAAGACTAGCGGCGAAAAGCGAATGTCACTTCAACCTTCGGCTCAAGCTTCCTTTCGAGTCGTTGCTGGCCTAAGGTACCAGACCCTAAGGTAGCCAGGATGAAGCAACGTTCATTGGCGCATGACCCAAGTTGCTCACTCTGCTTCCAATTTGATTTCTCCCTGGGTGGATCCCATCTCCGTCTCCGTTCTCCGCAGTGTATGCCAGGCATAAGCACCTTGAATATCAAAAGGCTACTCTCGGTGTGCCTGCAGGCCCGAATTCATGGCGCTATCCTATCCCTCCTCTGGGCAGGGAACCCATCTCTCCGGCTGCCCGTGGGGGCAAGGCAGCGACCCTTTCTGTAACTTCGTGCATTCATTCTCGAGTCTTCGGCTCTATCTTGCTTGTTGCTACGTATCCCTGGCTTCACTCCTACAGCCAAGACAACATCGTTCTTGTCTTTCCTATCGTTTGCCTTTCCTTAGGCCTCATGTGTCCAACTTTTTTGCATATCTTAGATCTGTGTATTAGATCCCCAGTTCATTGACCTCCCGAATAGTCAAGGCATTACAAACCCTTGTTTTACAATGTTTTTCCCCATCTCAAAGACGCAAGTGAAGACGCTGCTACACCTCATGGCAATAGTCTCTCTTGCGCCAAGACACATCCATGCAATAGCGCCTTCTGCAATCGCCCTCAACAAACCAGCAGCTTCAGTGCAGGCGGCAAGTACTGACAACGGGGGCCTGGTGACCGAAGGTGTAGCCACGCTCGATGGGTTGAACCTTGATGCGATAGCAGAGGGTCGGTCCGCAGAGTCCCTCATTTCCACGTCCATCCCAAAGACCAATTGGGTCGCTACAGCCGATAGTTATCAGCCTGGTTTCCCTCCTTCCAACGTCCTGGACGGCAATCTGAACACATTTTGGCATACGACTTATACCGTTGGGCTACCGTCTTCAGCTATGAGTGGAGTAATGAACCTCTAAAATCAACATCTCAGGGTGCGTCTGCCAAATGTATGCTGACACTAGATGTATCCAGGCTTCCCTACCACACGCGCTGACCATCGACATGGGCCAGACTTATCTAATCAACAGCATTGCGTATATACCACGCCAAGATGGTCCAAGCAACGGCAATATCGGGGAGCACCAGATAGTTCTGAGTGTAGACAATGGCACTTGGACTCCAGTTGCGTTGGGCACATATCAGGACAGCAATAGCACCAAAACGACAATATTCGAAGCCTCTTTTGCCCGATATGTCAGGATCATTGCCCTAACAGAGGCGGGAAGTCGAGGGCCTTGGACTAGTTGTGCATCCTTCAATATCTTCGAGACCAGTACGCCTCCTCCAGCCTCAGGCGAAGGAGAGTGGAGTCCTACCGTGAGCTGGCCTAATGTCCCTGTTCGAACGCTCGCGATGTTGACTGATATATCCTATCCCAGATAGACTTTCCCATTGTCCCCGTCTCCGCAGCAATTGACTATAGTTCTGGAAACATCCTTGTGTGGTCATCTTGGGCTGCCAGTACCTTCGCTGGAAGCGCCGGCAAAAATACGCTCACTGCCACGTACAATATGACCACAGGACTAGTTTCCCAGCGGAACATTTCCAATACAGACGTATGGCTTATCTCTGTGTTGTTCTGTCCCAAAGCGCATCCCGTCCTGAGCGGCAGGACGTATTTCCGAAGTGGTACCTTTTTTTCGCCTTCAATGCTACTTCCAGAACCTGACATGTCACCCGTTTTACATTGTTATAAGGACATACTGACTCCGAATTGTCCGATAGCACGACATGTTTTGTGAAGGCCTCTCTCTAGACGCCAAGGGTCGAGTCGTTGCAACAGGTCAGTGCAACATCTGGGCATATACATACTTGACATTAACGATGGCAGGTGGTAATGATGCTGCCAAAACGAGTATATATGATCCAGAAATGAGTTCATGGACAGCAGAAGGACATATGAAGATCCCTCGCGGCTATCAATCTGTGAGTCATGTTTTCCGAGTCATTTCTTCATGGTTCGTACTGCATTCCGAATTGCAAGACTTGTCGCAGGAGTAAAGCACTCCAGAGACCTGTTCCACCACTCATATTGATCTCAGAAGAGACACGCTGACTCGCAAATCATATAGATGGTTACACTCTCCAACGGCAATCTTTTTACGATCGGTGGGTCCTGGAGTGGGAACGAGGGCGGCAAGAATGGTATGAAGCCTTGAATAATGCGGTTGTCAATGTTCCGTGCTTCTTGTGCTCACACATTATACAGGGGAAATCTACAACCCATCAACGAATAATTGGACCCTAGTTCCTGGTGCACCAGTTGCTCCTATGCTGGTAGGACTTCCGCTGCCTTGAACCCCCTCAGTTGGACGTCCTCGAGAGCGGCCAGACATGATCCGGGAGTCTCATACTTCCAAGCACATGTTTCAATACTCCAATTCTCGTCAAGAAGAAGTCATTGCTGACTGGAGAACCCCGTCAGACCAACGATGCGCAGCTGGTATACCGTGCTGATAACCATGTACGAACGTTTTAATATCACCCCTTTCTAGCCGTTACCGTAGCTTGGGTTGAAAGACGATACTCAGAAGCAAACCACTGCTTTCGTTATTGAAGCCCGGCTCATGCCTCAGGCCTGTTGCCTTGGAGAAGCAATGCTGACTATAGATGCTGTAGGGAATGCTCTTTGCTTGGAAGGGTGCAACGATCTTCCAGGCAGGACCGAGCAAAGCTATGAACTGGTATGGCACCAATGGAACGGGCAGCCAGGTAGCGGCGGGGGATCGCGCTGATGGCGACGCCATGTGCGGAAACGCGGTCATGTATGATGCTACGGCAGGAAAAATTCTGGTAGTCGGTGGGGCAATTGATTACGTATACCTGTCTCGCTGCCTTGAATACACCGCAAACCATTGCTCACACGTCCACAGCAAGGCGCCAATGCGACGGCAAATGCCAATATCATCACGATCGGTACCGCGATGAGTGCAGCCACCGTCCAGACAATCAGCCCGATGTCTTACCCAAGAATCTTCGCCAACGCGGTTGTACTTCCCACAGGAGCAATTTTCATCTCGGGTGGCCAAGAATATGGTATTCCCTTTTCTGACAACGGCAGCCAGCTTCAACCGGAAATGTGGGACCCTGTGTCTACCAATTTCACAAAACTCGCACCCCAGGCCATACCCCGTAACTACCACTCAATCGGGATCCTCCTACCGGACGCCACTATCCTATCCGCCGGGGGTGGCCTGTGCGGAGCCTGTGCGACAAATCACTACGACGGCCAGATCTACAGCCCAAGCTACCTGTTCAACCCCAACGGCAGCCGAGCCATCAGACCGGTCATAGAATCAGCCCCCTCTCAAGTCGGCGTCGGCGGAATTCTAACCGCGACCACAGACTCGCCAGTCACCGCTTGGGCCATGCTTAGACTCGGCGCGACAACGCATACCGTGAACACGGACCAGCGGCGTATCCCGTTGAACGCCACCGCCAACGGCACCACTTACACCATGACGTTGCCCCTCGATCCGGGCGTTTTGGTCCCCGGCTATTACTATCTGTTCGCGATGGGTGCGGGGGTGCCCAGTCTGGCGAGGTTCGTGTCGGTCCCGGTGCCTTGAGTGCCGAACGGAGTGGGTGGGGATGGCGGTCTGATGGGAGTGTGGTGGATGGGGCATGTTGTTGGTTACGTACGGATCATGTTACGTAACTCTCTCTGTATCGCGTTGAAAGCCATTTACGGCTGTGAGAGCAAGGGTATGATAGTCATGAATGAATGCCAATGGTACATCCAAAAGCTTCACGTAGTTCTACAGGCCATGTTGAAGGGGCGACATCTTTATCAGTATCTACCTTGAAGCAAATCTAGATCTGACTCTGGTGAAAGAGACTTTTGAGCGACTCTATTGTTGGTGTCCACGACACAGATTCTCGCGTACTTCGCTGTACTATACTCTCGAACTGGTCATCCAAATATGTCGATGTCCAAGTAAACAGAAGTTGGCTACTCAGATCGCAACGCTTGTCGGACCTGATCTCCTAAGCCACCAGCAACATTCTTGAAGCGATTCGCTGCAGCATCGACATTGGACGCTGCCAGTGCTCCTCTCAGGCCGAATTGAGTAGGGACCCCTTCTATCCGGTGTGTGGAGTTGATATTTTTGACCAACGTAATCTGATAACAAGTCGCAGAACCCTGGCGGGAGGCGATGGTTGAGTAGGCAAGAAAAAACTCCCAGATCTGGAACGATACATCAGTACACAAGTGCGGCTGTTGGAAGACAAGAGACGTACCCTGAACCACCTATTCCCATACTTCGCTTCGACTTTCTCCCTGTTTGCCATCCAGTTCCTGTACCATCTCCAAAGTGTTGCGGAGTAGTGGACTCCGATGGTGTCGATGCCCTTCACTTCAAATCCAGCGCCTTCCAACTTATCCACGAACCATCCTAAAGGTGTTGATGCATCCGCTCCGGGGAAGATGTATTTGTTCATGAAGAGCCCCCAGATCAGATCTTCGTATTGCCAGCATTTCCGGATGCCAGCGATCTGCAGAAAGAAGACCCCATCGTCATCCAGCATGTCGTAGACCTGCTTCAAGAAGGTAGAAAAATATTTAACACCAACGTGCTCTGCCATCTCCAAACACGTAATCTTGTTATATCCGCCGGGCGGCAAAGGGATATCACGGTAATCCATACACAGGATCTGGCTTTGGCTTTCTTCAATGCCCGCTTTCCGCAATGCATTGTTACCCCACGCTGTCTGATTCCTTCCGAGGGTGACTCCTGTCACATGTGCTCCATAACTCGTGCTGGCGTATTTGGCAAGCGTCCCCCAACCGCAACCAATGTCAAGTAAAGATTCACCGCGTTTGAGGCCAATCTTCTCGCACACAACTCCGAGTTTGTTGTCTTGCAGCTGCTCGAGGCTTTCTTCCTTGTTGATGTCGGAAATGATGCCAGAAGTGTAGATCATGCGGGGACCTAGGAACCAACCGTAGAAGTCGTCACCGCGGTCGTAATGGTCTCGCACCTGTTCCTCGTCTGGGGCCGTTAGAGACCAGATGGCCAGCCTGCATTGAAAAGTAGCTCACCTTGAGAGCGAGTGTGCATGATAACCTCTGGCATCATACCAGTGAGGAAGAAGCGGAACAGGCTGAGTGTGAATCTGAAATTTGCCCAGTCATGGCGGTATTCCATCACCTCCAAGGCATCGCCTTTGAAGTCGACGGCGCCATCGAAGTACATCTCGTGAAAGGTCTCCATTGGTATCTTGCTTTTGCCATGGTATCTCGCTCTATCCTTTTCGCTGTGGAACTGCAGGTAATGCTCCACCGGTCTACCTGGATATCGAGCCTTCTCATTTTTTCGCGGAGATATTGTAGAAGCTAGATACCAGAATGTGGCTAGGATGGGAATACTGGTGAACAAGGCGAAGAAAATGCAGGTGAAAAGGCCTCCGTTGACCTGACGCGCCAAGTAGGCTGGTACCACGGCGAGAATTGTACCGAGTAGAATATTATTGAAGCTGTCGCTGCTTGCAGAGTCGGCAGGGAGGGGACCATTCTTGATTGAAGGGTACTACAGAGCCAGTGTCAGCCTTGATAATATGACCACATATCCCCGGTCATCCATTTCAGAGTCAATTGGAGCTGCCGAATGAGTTGGTACTCACGGTAGTTGTCCTAACTCCATAGTCCTCAGGGGGAGGCACAGAAGTTGGAGCAGCTGGAGTCTCGATGAATTCAAAGTCATCAGACACTTCCGACCCTGACTTGGGCATTGTGGTCACTCGGAAACAGGTAAATACAGTCCAAGTGGTAACATTGCTATAAATTTCTTTCTTGCGGACACGAATTTTTGTAACTGGTTTGGTTCGTAGGGCTGAATCTGTTGTGCAGGCCTCGGGCGCTAAGAATCCGGGTTCAGGCACATCTCCGCCAATCCAATCAATCCAATCCAGTATCGCCACCGCCATCTAAGAGCAGCGAAAAGCGAAACGCGTCTTCGGATTTCATCTGGCGTAACTTGTCGCCTATGAGTCAGGGACAGCAATGGGGCTGGTCCTAATGGCGCCTATTTCTCTCCACCATGCTCCGTCAGCAGAGACTTGCCTCGAACGTGAGCCGCCGCGCTGCAAGGCCTCTTCTCATGATGAGTACAGACGCTGTGCCAGATAGGAGCTCTCGTCGGGATACACCAGCTGTCTTGAAAGTAATGCCATCCGCGTATGCATTTCCGCTCTATAAGGAAGCAGGCAACTGATTATACCGTTAGTGCAGTGTCACGACCTGGCTCTGACCGTACTTGGGACAGCTTTCACGGCATCACATTTGCGTCCAGCCATGAAAGTACACCTTCTCAGAGTGCGTCCCATCTCATCCACGGCGCACTGTCCCAGGGAACAAGTTCGCAGATCTGGACTGAGCCGCCAACGCAACAACGCATTGAATCACGAGATGAACATCGCGATGGCCGTGAAAATATTGTCTCGACCAAAAGCACAATGCATATGCTTCAGACCCAACTTGGATGTGCAACAAAGAGTCCTGGTTCGAATGATGGTGACCATTCTCCTGAATCTGCTCATCTTGAACGCTGTCCTCCATCGAATGATGAGACATTCCGCACTCCGCTCGGCTTTCATATTCCCGAAGTTAAGCTGCGAAATGCCCTGCTTGCTGAGCCTACCAGTACCGCATCCTACTGGCATTATACATTGTACCAAGGACCGGGTGGAGACAAAGACAAAGTGAAGGTGCATTACTGTAAGAACAAGGAAAATACCGAGAAAATAGCTCAGCTGTTTCTCGACGAAAAGGTCATAGGTTTTGACATTGAATGGACACCAAATTCGTCCGCGACTGACGGAATAACGAAGAACGTCGCGCTGATCCAGATAGCGAGTGAAGAACGGGTGTTGCTCGCTCATATTGCTCGTTATCCCAATGCCGCTACCTCGGAGAAGGCGCAACAAATCGAGGATTTTGTTGCACCCTCACTGAAGGAAATCATGTATGGCTTATCTCCGTGCTGTTTTGTCTAAATTATGTCCCTTCCCGAGTCGCAAGACATGTTCCGAAAGTGGTACCTTTATACCGCCTTCGATGCCACTCTCAAATTATGTTTTGTGGTTTAGATTGCACTCTGATGTAGAAATGCTGACTCCGAAATGTTCGATAGGGAGTCATCTTCAATAAGCAAAGTCGTAAGCAGCTTCTCTAGCTTCAATTCCCTATCCCTTTTTGTATTTTGAGTTGCGAGACACGTTGCGGAAGTAGAATGATTCCCTCAAAATTTTCATGACTCAGTTCTGATATTTGGCAAGGATGTTTCTGACTGGAGATGTTGTAGGGCGTCGCCATCAAAGCAGACTGCACGAGACTCCGGAAGTTCTTGCGTATTGATTCCCACGGACTTTTCGAACTCAGCCACTTGTACAAGTTGGTCAAATTCTCCTCTGGAAATGTCAAGAAAATAAGCAAGACGCTGGTTTCACTGAAACAGCAAGTCCAAGAGCATCTTCAGCTTCCCTTGGATAAGGGTGATGTACGAACGAGCGATTGGAGCAACAGCCAGGACTTAACTTACCAACAGACACAATGTAAGTCAGCAAGCTCCTTCTCATTAATTTGGATCATCTGACTGGACCCTTTCTTAGATGCTGCTTCTGATTCGTACGCTGCTCTCCAACTCTATTACATTCTGGAAGCGAAGAGAAGAGCGTTGGAACCTACGCCTCCTCGACCTGCGCACGCAGAACTGAATCTACCAATCCGCTTAGCGAATGGTCAAAGAGTAGAGTCGTTTGATGAAGCATCGGAGTCGATTGAAGAAGGAAGTACAGACGCTGCTTCAAATACATTCTTCTTCCTAGAGGACGACTTCCAAAAGGTAGCAATCGAAGAGCCTGCATCGTTATACCCGCAGCTGCCAGCATCCTCAGTATCATCCTCCTCCTCCATCGCTTCTCTAGACTCGCGCCCTCCGCCATCGTCAAAATCCATCCCATCGAAAGAGGAGCTCGCCCCGGAGATTGTCGAAGCCAACGCTTCAGTCACTGAATACATAGAAGCGCGTCCCACCGCCATCAAGATGAAACCAAATAAGGCACACCTGCGCGCTTACTATCTCTGGGAGAAAAATTCAATGGAATCTAATGTGATCGCGGCTCTATTGCGCGTAGAATTAAGCACCGTGGCCGTATATATCCTTCAGGCCATCAAAGTTGAGCACTTCCGTTTTGGGGAAAAGAGAGCTCGCATGCTTGTCCCCCTCGCGCCCAAAGCGTTGAGGGACGACTTCGAAACCATGATCTCAAACAGGATCAGGAAGTGGAATGACGAGGCCAAAGAGAAAGGGCAATAAGGCTCGGTGCTGGGACAGGGAGCCTGGGCGTTGATAGGAATGTTGTGATGACTCTAGTAGATGACTTTGTGCACATGTATGAAAGTACCAGATGTTCAGATTTTTTGCTCCATGAATGTTATTCTACTTCGTTCAATCTGTGCTTCCGGCGCCTTTATCCAGACTTCTAACGCCATAGCAAGCGTCCGCGTCCCCGTCCGCGTTCATGACTTGTTACGAGGATACGGACGCAACCTGTCTGCCACCACCGGAGGGCGCTCGATTGAGAGTAGCATACATTGTCTTCTAACATACGGTACATAGTCCACACTAGCTCGCACCTACCGAACTCCACGTCGATACCTCTAGGCCAACTCCTGTCCGGGTGTCCAACAGCGGATTCATGTGACAGGCATAAAGATCTATAAGCATGAATATCAATAGTCTATACATGAAAGCCTGTGAACAAAAGTCAACGGTGGATGGTACTTGCTTCATCGGTCGTCATGTACATTGACGCTCTTTGGAATGATCGGTCGCCCATAGCGGGTTGCTGTAGCGTCGTGAAACGGATCGATCAGCTTCCCTTGGGCGGTTCCCCGTTACCCTCACGGGGCAGACCGATCTGGGCTTTTAAGATGGGTTGCGCACGGCCTCTCCTAAGCTTTTCCATGCTCTCAGAGGCAAAGCCGCGTCGGAGTGTAAGGACGCACTCCTACCAATCGCAGGTTCCTTGGGATCCACCGCCCAACACGGTCGCACCACGGCAAAATGACCATTCGATCCCGCATTTCGATGTCGATCTCTGCAAGAGGCCATCCACAAACTAAGAGGCGTGACCTGATCCATTGCAAACTCGCCCCAGCCAAATCCACTGCTTCTAGCGCGCTTCTTGCATACATGGTACAGCCACTTGGCCTCCGGTGAGTTTTTGTCGGTAGCCAGGTAAGCGATGGTGGCAGGCAATTGAAGGACTATGTAGCCACGGGAGCCATTTTGTTCGTGACAGAGATATTCGGTGCAGCGGCAGATGTTGCAGACTACATTCTGTATTGATCCGTGGGGGAAAAGGCCGGGCAAGATGTCCTCAACGGGCTGGAGATTTTCGGGTGAGAGATCCTGATAGAGCAAGAAGAGAAGAATACAGGCCATCTGATAGGCGCAATACTCATAGGCACGGAACACGTCTGCGAAGTGAATAGCTGCGTCAAATGGAGGCCTGATACTGTCGGAGCCCTGCGACGAGGCAGATGCGACAGGAACCTGCCACACTGGAGTCGAGTATTTGATGTGCCATTCCCCCCGCAGTTTTCTCAAGATCTGCAGACGCTCTAGAAGCTGCTTCTGCAATAACTCTTTATCTGGCCGCTCGGGCAAGTCGGTAGCCGTGGAGATGTTGGCGTGCGCTACTTGTTGCAGGAAGTAGGGTAAATCGGAGAGTACATCGACTATGTAATCGAACATGGACTTTGCTGATACATCCTCCTCCCATGGAACGTCCTTCCACTTTTGCTCCTCAAGGAACGTTCTTTGGCAGGAAAAGATCGCATTCGCGACCTAGCTCGGAAAACGTTAGGGGAATGACACTCATGAGGCCTATGGACTTTAGGGTTGACGCACGAGAATTACGCGTGCTTCCAAGTAGATTTCTTTTTCAGGATAGCTTTTATGGAGCTCAGGCCCACGAGCGTATATCAAATCTTTGATGCCGCCAGCGTGAGTGAGTAATCCAGTACTATCAGGGGTGAGGTGTATCATCTATATGTGGGTCAGTAGGGTTTCCTCCTCATGATGCGTAGGATGAGCGAAGGCAAACCTCATACATGTTGAGTGCCATAGTCGCGCCCAACGTCTCGAAAGTATATGCTTTCACCTTATGCGACAGGTCACTCGACAAATTCCGCAACGCTTCTCCATAAAATTTCGTTCCCTCGTTCATAATCAGTGGCTGTTGATGTATACGTCCGAAGAATGCAGCCACCATTGCTTTGCTCGCTGAAACCAGTGTTCGCGATTGAACTTGGACCCTCGGCGTCGGATTCAGCCACCAGCTTATAGCCTTGGAGAGGTTCTCTCCTGAACAGAGTCTGTGGAATAAAAAGGAGCGGCATATATCCTCTCGGAAGGCGGACAGATCCAATTCTTGGGCGACTTTTTCAGCAGGCAGAAGGCCTTGGGATATGAGAGCTTGTTTTGGGAGAAAAGCGTTATGCCTGGCATTGTATAGTTGGTTCCGCACCAGAATACGCTTGTGGGCTTCGCGCTCGAACGGTGCTTCATTGAGCCAAGATTGATCGTATCCAGCGCACCTGTAGGTTGCCTTCTTGCATCTTTCGCATTCTGGCTTGGCTTCATCACATTTCACCTTGCGCTCTAGGTTGGATGTTAGCAGGAGCGGAGGCGGTGTGAGTGAGAGCAAATTCACTTCTGCAAGTGATACACCCACTGCTTCTTTTGCCCATCCTCTACGAATACAAGCACCATGGCTGTTGGACAGCTTCAACAGTGATAGAGCATGATTGTAGGAGGTGAGCCAGATGGTTGAGACTCGGTAGAGACGGGGATGAGAGGGAGACCTGTTACTTTAATAGAAGAGATAAATGCCGCCTAGAACCAGCAGACCACCGACAAGAACATTGATTTAGCTTAGTCCAAAGCCACTGGTGCCGCCATGTCCAGAAAGAGCTGCATGCATATAACCGCGATTTACCCGGGTTATACCGTAGCTAGCTCTGTAGTTGACAGCGACGGACCAGAAGTATATTCATAAGCACATCTCGGCCAGACCATTCTCCGTTCTCCAACCTCCATACAGTATTTCCGGATTTCTGAAGAATAAAGTAAGGTAATCGCCATACCGGACTTCAAGAAATGACATCTCAATTATTACCCTTGGGTATGTGACCACTTTTGATGTAACAATATGATCAGGTCAGATACTAAGAGACTTCGGCGCAGAGTTAATCGACAAATGCGTTGGCTCACGCATTTGGGTGGTGATGAAAGGGGATAAAGGTAAACAGCCATCTGAATCCCGCACATGTCCAAGGAGACTCTGCTAAGCCACCTTGATATCCAGAATTTGCAGGTACGCTGTTGGGCTTCGATGACTATGTCAGTATGTCTTTGCGCCTTTCTTGTCTTGCAACATAGAACAGTTGACTAATCCCTCGCTCAGATATGGTGCTTGAGGATGTGACCGAATTGTACGTTTTCTATGATGCCGCAGCTCAGATTTAAACTAGCTTTGCAGCTGATGTTGCTTGCAGTGACTACAGCGGCTCTCATACGAAGCTCCCGAAAATCCTACTAAATGGCAACAATATTTGCATGGTAACGACCATGTACTCCGGTGAAGCTTTTCGAGCTGACTCTTTACCAGCTCATTCCCGGCGGTGAGGGTCCTGAAACGACTGAATCATGATGCGAGTTCCCTGGCATTGTTCCTCTCTATCAGGAGGCTCTCAAACGATTTCACGAGCGGGCACGATGGCATCAGAACTTCTCCATGGAGATTGAAGAGAACGGCCTGAGGATATGCATGCATGTCATCACTCAGCCAGCAAACAGGTGTTTTAAATGTCCCTCAGGGAAATAGTTCGAGTGACTTTATTCCGATTAGCTGGGTAGCTCTAATCATAATTTTGATGATGCATGTGAGAGCTTCCAAAACACCTCAGATATATCTTGTCTAACTTCATCGATAATCTCTTTTGCGTACTTGACTTCTTTCACCAAGCCTACACCGCATCCAGCATAGGCAGTAATCCTGCCACTCTCCCCCCATCCATGGTCACCCTTCTGTAGAGCTTCTTCATATAATCTCTTGTTCTCATCTATAATCATACCATTCTGTGCGTCCAGATAACTTTGATTGATTATACCCCGTCCACCATATTGACGAGGCCACACTGTCCCACGTAGCGTATCGTATACGCTCGTTCTGACGGTACTCCTCCCTCCGTCTGTCGTTCTAAGCACATCAACTTGATATCCTTTGGCTATGTTGGCTTCCTTGCTTGCCAAAAATCTTGTGCCCATTACAACGCCACTTCCGCCCAGAGCCAGGCAGGCAGCGGCCCCTCGACCTTCCACTATACCTCCTGCTGCAACTAGAGGTATACTTCCCATTCCCATCCCTCGTAACGAATCAGCCACCTCTGGAAGCAAGCTCACAATTCCAGCACCATGTGCTAGTCCGTGCCCTCCAGCATCAGCACCTTGAACGACAAGGACGTCTGGATGGCAAGAGCGGGCAACTTCAATTGCGTCCACGACTGTCCCAATCTGTATCCATATTTTTGTTTTCCCCTTGCTCACCTCTCTTATGTTTCTCGTCCACTCGACAAGGTCTTCGTTCTTCCTTGGTGCAAAGAACCACACCGCAGCGGGTATATGCTCCCTCAGAGCCTCCAGCGCTGTCTCCAGTTCGACACCCCAGTTGATAAAGCCCACACCAATGGGGAGGAAGTCTGAGCTCGACCCTGGAACAGGATTTTGCGCCACTTGATCTGCGACTTTTTGCAACTCCTTTTTCAGATCAGCCACGTCAGTACCCGCAGCGAGCCAGCCAAAGCCTCCAGCCTGAGACACTGCATACGCAAGCGGCGCTAGGGCTATCAGCCTCATTGGAGCGTTGGCTATGAGGGGGCTCCGGGTCCACGGGTATGCTGTGTTCAAAGTTGTAGTAACTAAGATATCGAATTATATAGATAGAAGAAAGATATTAAGTAGTAGATAAATGTCTCTATTAAGATACGCTAGGCTCGAATAAGTAAGAGGGCTAAGTAATATATTAAGGATATAGAATACGCTTATAATACTATTCTCTCTCTTTATAAAATTATATCTCTATAATTAATAAGTAGAAAGATAGAAAAATAAATATATATATACGCTTAACGTCTAAAAAATAATAAAAGCAGTAAAGAAATAACCGTATTCGAGATTTATATTATTCGTATCTTTCTTTATAAGAGATATTAAGAATAATAGTAGCTCTTTATACTTACGCTCTTAGCGATATCGCTAATTAAGATATAAGCGTATATAGAGAGTCTAGCTAGAAGAAAATCGATATAATATAGTAAAAATAATATTTATAGACGTAGAGGTAATTAGTAATAATTTTCGAATCTATATCTAAGCGAATAAAAGGTTTATAAAATAGCGCGATATAATTAATCGAGGGCTCTCGAATTAAATTAAATCGAATCGAGCCGTAGGCGCTAAAAACTCTAATTTAATATTAAATAAGTTTCTCTATAGAATATTATATAATCGATATTAATAGAGGCTATTAACGACGATAATAAGATTTATAGATAACGCGTTATAGCTTCAAAAGATGTTTGAATATCTATTAATAAGTAAGAGAACTCTACGCGGAAGGCCTTATATAATATAATTAATGATTGATATAGGTCTAAGAAATTAATTCTCGGATCTAAAAAAATAAGGCTATTATAAAGATATCGAACGATTTTAATTTAATTAAAAACGATATATTCGAAATAGCTCTATTATCTTATAAGTTAACTCTTTATAAATAAGACTCTTTAAAATATCGTTTATAAAAGTTATTTATTAGATCTTAACAATTTTCGAATTTATTATTATTTATATTATATTAGATAAGATTATTATTAAGATCTTCTTACTTAACTTTATATTTAAGATAACTATTAATTAATTTAGAGCTAAGTATTTCTTTAATAATCTATTCGATTTAATTATTAATATTAATATATTTTAAAGAAGAATTTATTTATTCTAATAAGAAGTTATTTTTCGCCAGATTTAATAGATTAAAATAAAAGATATTATAGATTCTTATACTTAATAAAAGTTTTAGATAATATAAGATTTTTATAAGATCTATAATCTTAAATAAATTAAGTCTCTTATAATTTAATTTATAAAAAGAGCGATTAAAGATAATATTCTTACTACTTAGAAAGATCTTATTATCTATTTAAAAGATAATCTTTTATTAATATTTAATAATTTATATAACTATAGTCTTTTAAATATAATTTATATTACTTCGAATATATTTAAAAATATATTTTATATAATTTATAATATTCTTTATTTAAGTAATATTAAGACGTTTATAAGTAATCTTATAATTAATAATATTTAAGCTAAAACTTATTTAAGAATAAAATCTCTTATTTATAAGAAAAGATAAAATATTAATAATCGATAAGATAGTATTATTATCGACGAACTTCGATAATAGATAGCTATCTTATCTTAGTCGTTCTATATATAATTATAATATATTTAAAGATAACGCTTTATATTCTAATTTACTCGCTTAATCTATTTATTAATTTTAAAATAAAAAGCTATTAATAGCTTAACTATAATATCTAATTATTTATAAAAGACTTTTATATAATAGCTATAAATTAAGAGCCTCGATTTAATATTATTAAGATCGATAGATTATATAAATAAAATACTTCTTTAAGTAATAAGTTAACTATCTTCTTAGCGATAATATCTTTATTAATATCGAAATAGACTATATAATAACATTTCTTAATAAATTAATTAATCGCTATTTAAATAGCGTTATAGTTATTAAATATAGATAAATCTATAATAAAGTTAATTAATATATCTTACTATTATTTCTATAAAATTAATAGAGATTAAAGTAAATTATATTCTCGATTATAAGATAACTTAACTCTTTAATAGATATAGTAATTTTAAATATAAATAACTATTACTATTCTTATTTCTTATTAATAATATTCTCTTTTAAATAGTTTATAAATATATATTATCTCGAAATAATCGTAGAATAATTAATTATATCTCTCTCGAATAATATCGATATATATATTATTAAATATTTATAAACGATTCTTATAATAAAGTACTTTATCTTATATAAAGTACTTATTAAGAGTAATTTCTTAAAACTTATTTTTATCTTCGACGATAGCGTTACGAATTTTTATATAATAAATATCTTTCTTATTATTTTCTACTATTTTATAATAAATAGAGTTATCGATTATATATATATCGATACGTTCGCTATTTAACTTTAATTAATTAAGAGTAAGAATTATTTAATACTATTAACGTAATTATTTATCTCTAAAATTAATTAATTTATATTTAATTATTTATATAAGTATATTAATCTTAATATTCTAAGATTCTAAATCGATAAATAATCTTTATATTAAATTCGAATAATATATCTAAATAGCGGGCCTAGCGATAGCTTAGGTCTCTTTCTTTAATAAAATATATTAAGTCTTTATAATTTATAAAGATCTTAATAGAGATATTAATATATTTTAATTTAAAATATTAATATTTTAGATAGCGAATAATAATTAATAATTTCTTATTATAGATCTAATAATTATATTTAATTAAAGTAAGATTTTTATTATAGAAGACTATCGAGTAAAGTACTTTCTTATTATTATATTAGAAAAGAATATCTTTATTAACGTAGTTAAAAGAGTTAGTCTCTAGAATAATCTTTTTTATTCTATCGAAATAACGTAGAATTAAAGCTTTAATAATAACGACTTTTAGAAAATAAAAGATCTCTTAATATACTAGAGATTAATTAAATATAATCTCTTTTATTATAAATTTTATTATAAATTTAACTATTTTAGAGAAGTCTCTAATAAATCATTAATAAAAATTATAAAATTCGATAAAGGTCTATATCTCTTTAAGGTTAATAGATATAATTTACTTAATAATAGTTTAAATTTTAATAAGATTTATTTATAACTCGTTTATAGATATTAATAGATCTAGAAACTTAATTTTCTAAATATAGAATTTATATTTAAGAATATTTATCTAAAGATCGATATTTCTTAATTTCTAAAGAATTTATCTAATATATTAAATATATTTCTTTTTTATCTTATTATAAATAAGTATATTATTAAGATAAATCTAATAGAAGTCGTTTAGATACTTAAATAGAATATTATTTATATATTATTAATATATAGCCGAGTCGTTAATTAGTTTGAAGAAGAGAATTTAATATTTATATATTTTAAGAAAGATAATAAAAGTAATAAAATTCTCGCTATTGAGATATATATATAGTTTATTAAACGCGGCTATAATATCTAATCGAGTAAGATATTTATATTTCTAGATTCTTATTAAAATCTTATCTATTAATAAAATTAAGTATTAATTTCTTTTAATAATAGCGTTTAGCTTTCGATAGTTTATATAAAAATATAATTCTTTATTCGACTTTTTCGCGAATAGAATAAGTAAGATAAATAATATATAGCTTAATATTATAAATTTCTTCTTTAGATATTTATTTAGATACTTCTTTATCTATTTTAATTTATATTCTAATATTAAATAGATTCTACTTTTTAAAAATTTTATTTTATTAAAGCTATTATTAAATTTTAATTTATAATTATAAGAATAATATAAGAAAAATATATTTATCTTAGTTCTATTAAAAATATTAAGATAGTCGTAATACTTCGTAGATAGTTTATATTTTATCTTCTTAGAATTAATCTTATTAATACTATTAATCTAAATAGAATAATTAAAATTATAATATCTTTTATATTTCTTTTCTAAGTTATAGAAATAGAGTTTATTAATTAATATATAAAAATTGCGAGATATTTAAATAATAAAAGATATATATAATATTAACGAGTTATTATAAATCTTATTTATTATTAATATAAATAGTTTATTATCTTTTTTATAAATTAGTTAATAGTAAATCGCTATATTAATCTTAGCGATATTAATAAATTTAGACTTCTTACTATTCTTATTCTTATTTAATAAAAAGATATTTAAATTTTATTATTATAAGTAGATAGAAAAGAGCTTTATTATTTTAATATAATAGATAAAGAAATAAATAATATAGATAATCGAAGCTTCGAAGTTAATAGAAAGAGGAGATCGTTTATTATTAATATCTAATTATTATTATAATTATATTAATTAAATAGAAAGAGTATCTTATTTTATAATATATTAAAAACTATCTTATATTTATTTATTTAAGATTTTTTAATTATTATATTATATTTTAATAATATAATTAATATTAAATATATTTCTTCTTAATAATCTTCTACTATTATCGTTTAGAGTAAATAATATATAATTAATTATTTTATAATCTAATTATTATAATCTCTTAGTAGTTTAAATTATAATAATAGAAGTAATTTTAGATATAAGACTTTATATATCGCTAGAATTAAGAACTCGTTTATAACTATATAAGTATCGATATATTTATTATTTATAAGAGAGTTTTAAAGTAAATAGTTTCTCTCTTATAAAGATAGCGTAACTTATATATAAAAAGAATAACGTACTAGAGCGTTATTAAAAGTATCTATTAGATATACTTTATAAGTATCTCTTATTATAACTTTAAAAGAGGTTATTTATTTTTCGAATCTAATAAAGAATCGTCGCTATTTATAATATCGACGTTATTAATTTTAAATTCTTTATCTATATCTATCGCGTAAAGTTATACTTTCTTAAAGATCTTTTTATTAATCTTAATTTAAATAGTTATTATATAAATACTTCGATAATAGCCTTTCTTATCGTAATTA